TTTTGTTAATAAAAGTTAGGTCAGATCGTCTTCTTTTGGTCCAAAGAATATCGCAGTACCCTTTTGATCATGAGCTTACGGGACACCCTGTATATTTTCAAATATACAAGCAAAAATAATAAAAACACCATATCAAACAGTAGCTGATTTATTTGAATTGCAAAATATAAATAATTTACAGAAATCATTATTCTTGAAGTTAAAGTTCTTAAATTTGAAAGAAGATTTATTAATTTAACAGCATCAATATCGATATCAAATCGAGCAAATGATATGGCTATAAAAGAAGAACATTGAAGAGGACAAAAAATATATAATATTTGGAAATATAGAAGTAAAAATAATTAAAACACCATCTGAAACATTAGCCGATTTATTTATTTGCATTACCGAATATAAATGATTTGCAGAAATCAAAATAAATTATAATTTTATAAACTTGAAAGTACTCGGCATAAAAATAAGTTAGTTAATCATTTCCATGTGAGATTTTAAACTTGGGCTCCTTGCCTTGTTATGGTCAGCTCTTTAACATTTACGTGTTCCGGAGTGGATAAAACATAGAAAACCGCATCGGCGATATCTTTGTCTTTCAAGCCTGTTTCTTGAACAGTTTCCCACTCAGTTCCCTTAGAGATTTTGCCAAAAGCTACTTCCAGAATTTCCGTTTCAACGTAACCTGGACTAATACTGGTGATTCTGATCGGTAGCTTTTCTCGATTAATTTCCAACCTAATCGTTTCGGTTAATGCAGTCACTGCATGCTTTGATGGAGGATATAATCCCATTTTAGGAAAATCAGGAACCATGTGCCCAGCCACACTATTTACATTGATAATGTATCCTTTAATGTTATTGGTCTTCATGATTTTTACAGCTTCTCTGGTACAAAGTGCAACAGCAATAACATTGGTATTTATTACGCTCGCCCATTTTTCAACCTCACCATCGAGGATACCAGATGCGCTCAGAATACCCGCATTATTCACCAGAACACTCACCGGACCCAGAGAGGAAGTGACTTTCTGGAACGTCGCCACTGTTTCCTCTTGCTTAGACAAATCGCATTGAAATGCATGCAAACTGCCTTTCTCACCCATCAGTTCCTTGGCATGTTCTTGAACAAGTTGAACTCTTCTAGCAAGTCCAGCAACTATAACACCATGTTTCACTAGAAGATCGGCTATGGCTTTTCCAATTCCCGCAGATGCACCCGTAACGATTTCAACTTTGCCGGCAAATTGTTTCAGAGATGGAGAGGAAGACATGGTTTTTCAATTCGTGCGTACCCGGTGGATAATAAATGCGCTTTATCCCGCTGCAGCAGACTAACGATTTTATATAGATAGGGATTAGTGTGCTATTAAAAATAGAACAGGATATAATTCAACAAAAAAATAATATCGGTGAATTCTCGAAAAACTGAATTGAAAAAATGTGATCCAAAAATTTGTATACATTGAAGTAAAATTGGGTTTCTGGTAGTTTTATGCTATTTTGTAAAATTCTATAGCAGAAATCGACATCGGCTATCTTTGCTAGCTTATCTTTGCCAGAGCCATAATTATTCCTATAGGATATTACTATGATCATAAATATTGACCAGGTAAATGTGAACTTCCTATAATTAAAATATCAATAAATCTTAAGTCAGAGTATTAAGGTATTAATTTTTTAGTAACCTAAAGTACAGTGTACATTCCTTTATCCTGCTTGATTGGGCTTGCCGAAAATTCTCCATTGGAAGAATCGCCCTTATAATATAAGTACAGGTGATTAAGTGAAAAGCAGAAAAATTCGATCTTAATAACAGCAGTTAATAACTAAGTTAAGTACAGTGAGACTAATTACAAAGTAACGTCGAAATTATATGTTGTTTACACGGTGAGCAACCCTGGAACCTCAACCGTACGATCGAGGTCTGCTCACTCAAGAGCTGAAAGCTATATTTAGTGAATTCAGAAAGATTGATAAAAAATATTCTCATTCACTTTAGGAAGACAATTTGAAATTAATTCAATATGTGACACTAAATAAACTAAATAAATTGAATTAACTTTACTATGGACAGCCAAATGCATAGTTCAATTAAGCTCATTGAAAAGTGTTTTATGAAATTGTGGAAATTGGTTGATTTTCAAAACATTCGGACAAGTTTAGATCTAAATAGCTGAAAAATTGCATATACGCGAGTGATTAATATGAAAAAATTTGAAAATTTTATGATGAAAAATATTTTTATTAGAAATTTTCCTAGCAAATTTTCTCCAAAAGGGACCAGAATAGCAAATATAGTTTAAATACTTTTAGAAATTCTTATACTAAAATCTGAGGTTTTTGCGTATAGAAAGCGTGTCTTTTTTTCTCAAATATTGTAGCATTGTCAGGTTCTAACATTTATTATAAATTAAGAAAATGTAAATGATATAAACCTCGTTGATTTCTAGTTAATAACCCTGGTAAGACTGCCATGAATCAGATAAGCCGCAACTGAAAATCAGGTAAGAAACTTATGAAAAACCACTTGCATCAAAAATTCCAACAAGAAATTATGCATGAGTTATGTGACGCTTAAACCTCTAAACTGCCCGGACTATCATAATTTAAGCTAACTTGCATTTTGTAACTTATATATACTTGCTAAACG